GGCTGAGCACCAATTCATTGTCTGAACAGAGCCTGAAGCCCAATAAGTTTGCTTTAACAAACTTCTACCAAAGGTGGCGAAAGTCAAGGTCATCGAAAGAACCATGTTTTAAAGCCTTAGAGTATTAAAACATTTGAGACCTAAAAAGAGTTTTATACCAAACGATCTGTGTTCGCGGACCAATTTTCCTCTGTGTTTTATCAGACTACTTATGTCTAGAAAGTTTGCTTTAACCAACTTCTAGTAAAGGAAGTCAAAATTGGAGAGTCTTGTACCAAGAGATCTTGGTACAAGAATCCTTTACTTCTAGTAAAGGAAGTCAAAATTGGAGAGTCTTGTACCAAGAGATCTGACGCCTTTGACAAATTATTCTACTTCGTCTAAACAGTGTCAGAAGTTAATGTTATATTTTTGTAATCTATACATTCTAAGATGGGTCTACTCCTTATATACATAAATATATAGTAATCGATTTGTCTGTATGGCATAAATTTTCTGAAGTTAACTTCGGGATATTAATTTTCAATACTTCTATCAGACATTCGTTTGAAAATCATCAAAATCGGGTCAAAAATAAAATAGGGTACTTCTCGCAGACACAGGGATGGAGTAAATTCAAGATTCATTCAATAATGCTCAGTTATATTACTCATTCAACTTTCAGCGTTAAGTGCAGCTTTGACGCCCAGACCCTCAAGTGAATAAAAAGATTAGGACATCTGAATATAATTTATAAAAGTCAGCTTCTCAAATCCCCCCTTACTGTATCTAACAGACTTTGTGTCCTATATTCTCACTTGGGGCCTTCTTAAGAGTAATATCAAGATTTAAACTTTTCAAAAAAATAATTGACTTGTGTACGAAAATATAAGTCCTTTGTGGTTTAAAGTATGATGAAGTTCTACTAGATTGATCAATTAAGAATATACGTTCTGGAATTTGTAAATGGTAAAAGCATAATCCAGTGAACTGTCCCCTCTGAAGATAAAATCAAGAACCTACCCAGTTGTAGATACAAAATGTTTATCGGAGTAATCTTATGTACAGGCACTTAAATCATTCTGGTTTTCCAAGAATAGACTAATTTCTCAATATCTAAATCGTAAGACCCAAAGATCTGTATTTTGTTAATGGTGCAATTTTATTAGGGTAGATTGTCGGTCCTGTATTTTTGTACCACTAAAGATAATTTCCAGACCCCGTAGCATTCCAATCGATATTGTTAGTCTTACATCCAATCATAGACAAGAACTGCCGAAGTATCAATCCAACGGAGCTTAGTATCTAAGAGCCTTAATATATAGATCGAGATATCTTTATCTTGTAGATAGATAAAGGTTTATAGGGCAGAATACAGCAATTCTCTTACCTCTAAAGTTTAAATCAAAGTCCTGAAGAAATCTTTTCAACATCGTCGAGTCTCAGATATGATTAGTTTAACGGTTTAACTATACATATTTATGTATAAATGATTAAGTCATTTGGGTTTTCCAGTATAATGGTGTTCACAATAAACCAATGAAGAATATATTGTGGTTCTTGGTATTTCATATAAACAGTAAAATTTTCTGAATATCAGAAGCTCTAGCCCTCCAGCTACGGATAACAGCGGGAATAGGTTTAATTTTTTTAGAACAAAGGCAAAATACCAACTTTTTTCACAGATCTTTAAGTGGAAACCCCTTAACCAATTTAACCCATGTATGTTAATACAAAATACTCTATAAGAAAGGAAATGAGACCCTTCACAACTTATCTTATACTTCCCTCGCCTAAGCTCGAATTAATGGTCTCGATCTTCCAGATAATCCCCTACGATATCGTACATAAATTTTCTTTAGCAATCTACTTATAGCTTATGTAAAAATTATATTTTATCGATGCTGTCCATTATTTTGCTGTTGTTTGCGGTTTTATTTTATTTCTTACTTTCGTTCTCTTTTGTAGTTTTGCTAACAATTTCATTTCAATGTTTTTGCCTTAATTTGAATTGAGTTGAAGGACATTTTGTTGTTTTATATTCTTTCCGTTTTCTGTACGGTATTTGTTTCTGTTTTGGGGTTTTCTGATTTAAGCCGCTAACTGCCAATTGGTAGAAATGTCCGACCATCCGTATTTCTCTCCCAACTACCTAAATACCCTTTCTATGGCAAAAACTGTAAAATGAAACATAGTAATTTTCATACATCACTACCTAATTTTGTTGTCTATTCTAGGAGTCTAATTAATTTTATTTGACTTTTGGGATTTAACCCAACGTGTGCTAATTAAGTTGTCGCTGTTGATTTTAGTTATTGAACAAATTCCCTGAAATCATTTAGTGTTTTAAAACTAGTTTGGGAAAATTATCACTGCAAGTATAGGAAGGTATGCATTGTTAAATGGTTTAAGTTTATTGCACTATGGCTTCAGTTGGCAAATCCTTTATTTGAAATATCCTATATTGTAAAAGTATTCAATGGTATCTGAAGCCATGACCAAATAAGTCTATGAATATTATTACTAAATTGTTTCTTTAAGATTACTTTTACTTACTTGCGAAGTACTTTTTAACTGTAAATTGTCTGTTTTAACCATTTACTTTTCGCTTTACAATGACAAAATTTAATTATTTAAAATTTCTATATAATATTGTATTCATTAAACTTAAATTAAAAAACAATATTTAAACCAACATTTAAAAAATAACCTTTTTCCATAGTAAAGAACTCGGCTTAAACGTTTGATGCTGTTGTTGTGTTTTATGCAGCAGTAAAAACAGCAATAACAAACAAATATTTTGTGCAACACATACTCAAACATGCATCCAAGCCAACAGCAATACAACAGGAACAGCTACAGCAAAGAGGGAACAATGAATTTGTACAGGTAGAAAAATATTTTAACCACACACATACACATAACACACATGCAAGTATTTTCCATACACACTTGAATGTTCACATAAATTCGCGTATAATAAATTCGGAATAATAGTACATATTCCTGAACTACAACTGAACTAGAACAGAACTAGAACTGAACTAGAACTGAACTAGAACGGAACTAGAACTGAACTAGAACTGAACTAGAACTGAACTAGAACTGAACTAGAACTGAACTAGAACTGAACTAGAACTGAACTAGAACTGAACTAGAACTGAACTAGAACTGAGCTAGAACTGAACTAGAACTGAATTAGAACTGAACTAGAACTGAATTAGAACTGAACTAGAACTGAACTAGAACTGAACTAGAACTGAACTAGAACTGAACTAGAACTGAACTAGAACTGAACTAGAACTGAACTAGAACTGAACTAGAACTGAACTAGAACTGAACTAGAACTGAACTAGAACTAGAACTGAACTAGAACTAAACTAGAACTAACTAGAACTGTACTAAACTGAACTAGAACTAGAACTGAACTAGAAACTGAACTAGAACTAAACTAGAACTGAACTAGAACTGAACTAGAACTGAACTAGAACTGAACTAGAACTGAACTAGAACTGAACTAGAACTGAACTAGAACTGAACTAGAACTGAACTAGAACTGAACTAGAACTGAACTAGAACTGAACTAGAACTGAACTAGAACTGAACTAGAACTGAACTAGAACTGAACTAGAACTGAACTAAACTGAACTAGAACTGAACTAGAACTGAACTAGAACTGAACTAGAACTGAACTAGAACTGAACTAGAACTGAACTAGAACTGAACTGAACTAGAACTGAACTAGAACTGAACTAGAACTGAACTAGAACTGAACTAGAACTGAACTAGAACTGAACTAGAACTGAACTAGAACTGAACTAGAACTGAACTAGAACTAGAACTAGAACTGAACTAGAACTGAACTAGAACTGAACTAGAACTGAACTAGAACTGAACTAGAACTGAACTAGAACTGAACTAGAACTGAACTAGAACTGAACTAGAACTGAACTAGAACTGAACTAGAACTGAACTAGAACTGAACTAGAACTGAACTAGAACTGAACTAGAACTGAACTAGAACTGAACTAGAACTGAACTAGAACTGAACTAGAACTGAACTAGAACTGAACTACAACTGAACTAGAACTGAACTAGGGCTGAAGATCTTTGTCGTGTTGAATTTTAGAATTCTCTACATTGAAAGTAGGATTAAGGTTCAGCCGCAATCGTTGCAATAAAAAATATGATATGGTCGGAAACTTAAGTTGCTTATTTGTTCGATAACACTACTTAGTTTCTCTTTAACTAACAGTTAAGAAATTCTTTATTAGTGTAGAGCTCAATGATGTCTCATTCTATCGTCTGTATCCATTTTACTTGGATTATTTTATTATATTGCTGACTGGTTGCTCGCTTAAGAGTAAGACATGATTGAACATGTTTGTTAGTCGTTGAGTGTGTGAAAATTTTTAAATTAAATTGTATTAAAAAAAAAATGGAAAAAATAAATAATCAAAAGTTTGTTGTTATTGTTATAGCTGCTTTTTCAACATTATGTCTGCATTTGATTTTTATGCTCAACATCATCTGATAGTGGTGATGGTGGTAGTGGTGGCAATAATGCAAGGATAACAATTAATAAAATGTTGTGTGTGTGAGGGGTTTATATAAAATTTGATTTAAATTTATATTCTGTAGCTAAACATTAGCTAAAAGTTTAATTTTGTTTAAATAATTTTAAAACATATGCGAAACTTCTCTACATTTGATGTTTTATAATACAGGTTGTTAGCATTTTAGCAGAATATCGGGAATAACACATAAAGGTAATGTTTTATGACATTTTTAGCAAAATTTGAATATAATGAAAGCGTTCTAACTGAAATAATCAGGTTTCTAAAAGTTATTGCATAAAAACTCGTAGCATTTAAACAAAAAACATTTTTTTTTGTGACAATTTTACTTTTAATGCAATAATTTAATATTTAAACTATTAAAATTAAATCCAGTTTTTTTTTTTGGAGTAATTTGCATACAACAAAAAAAGCATAAGAGAGATTCTCTTAAGTCCCGAGAGAAATTCCATATAAATAATCCAAGATTCTGGAAACAGATCATCATTCAGTTTTTACCAAACAAACGAATAATACACAACAATTTAAACAAAATGAAATTCTTCATTGTTTTCGCTGCCCTCTTCGCCCTCGCTTTGGCTGCTCCCGCTGAACACCAAGCTGAAATCGTTCACCAAGAATCTGATGTTGAACCTGAGGGTTTCAGATTCCTTACCGAAACCTCTGATGGTACCCATCACGATGCCGAAGGTAAGGTAAAGGATGTTGGCTCTGAACACGAAGCCATCGTTGTTCACGGTTCTTACTCCTGGGTTGATGAAAAGACTGGCGAAAAATTCACCGTTAACTATGTTGCCGATGAAAACGGTTTCCAACCCGAAGGTGCTCATTTGCCCAAACCCGAACATTAAGTGAAAGTATGAAGTGAATTGTTAAATTGTTGTTTAAAATAATTTAATAGTTTATGATTTTTCAAAAAGAAATAAATAAATATGAATTTTAAAATTTTATAAAAATCTTGATTTTTAATTGTTTTAAGTAGCTGAAAAGTTTTTGACGAAAATCTTTGTAGTGAAAAGTCGAAATCGAAAATAAAGGTTTCGAGAACAATATCACAGTTTATACTTATATGGTCAATTTCGTGTCAAGTGACCCAACTCATAAAACCGATTTGGATGAAATTTGCACTAAGGTTAGTGCTATTGTATAGTAGGCCAGACACAGCTCTATCGGCCAAGAACTGCCGGACTTAGAGGGGGTTAAAATTGTAAATTTTGGTCATACAAAGTTTTATTCAAATGAGTGTAACTTTTCACCTATTGGTCCTAGCAAAAATTGTTCAAAGGAGTTCAGATAGCTATTTCTTCATTATTTCCAATTTTTTTAATTTAAAAACTTTTTTTAATTTTTTCGGATTAGAGTGTATTCTACATTACTTAATTATTAATAAATACCTAAGGTGAGAGGGTGAGAGGTTATCCAATAAAAAGTTGTCTTAGATCACTATTTAATTACCTTCGATATTAGTTAGTTTGAATGCTTGTTATATCAAGCTCAAAGAAATATACATAGGCCTCCATCGAGCCTGTAGTGCCCTCCTTTAACAGTGTCTCTGGACCTTCAGTCTAACATACTAGAACCCTAAACACTATCCTACCGGTGGCACATTAGACTAATATCCCTTCGATATTGTACTAAAAAACTCTACGGGAAATGGGTTCTATTAGTAGTTTAAGATTCAACCGCTGGTCTACAAAAAATAGAGAAAAGTTTAATAACGTTAGAACCAAAATTTCCGAAATTTCCTGACTAATTGATAAGTAAAGAAAATCTGTCTTCGATGAGAAACTCGTCAAGAAGCTTTTGCGAATCTGTAGACAACACAAAAAACTCTATCAGACTTAGTAAGGGGCAATTTAATCGAAACAATCTTGAAAAGAATATATAGCAGAGTTGATTAAGCTATGTCCGTCTATCTGTCTGTATATCGGTTTTTAAGATCCCAAAATATCTAGAACCAAATCTTGAATAATTCTATAATTTCGAAAATATAAAGATCTAAGAAATTCCAATATCGACTTCAAACTATCCTGGAAACTCAACACCGACTATAGAGCCTAGAAGGCAATGGTAACCTACTACTATCTGTATTAAGATGTTCAGGATAAAATAGGGACTTAGTCCCAACATAGTTCAATAGATGTACATACACAGAGGGAAAATATACACGCCTGATACCAAATTGACACCAAGGACTTTATAATTTTTCAATAACATCCGTTGTCAAAGTATATACATACGTACGACAACACTATGTAATGTTGACAAGGCAACGTTGTCAACATTGCAACAATTCGTTGTCGAAATGTAAATTTTATACACATCCGTTGTCTAAATGTTAACATATCTGCCTTCAGTGCAACAACACTTGTAACGCATTCGGATGTTAGATTTTCTATAATTATTTCTATTTATATGTTAAACATAGCTAACTTCTGAAGAAAACACGATTTCCCCAGATTCTAATATGTATTCTGATTTATGTTATTCTCAGCCGTTGTATAAACAACAAGTGCATTTTCTATAAAAATACACTTTAAATACTTGTTTCTAAAGTATTATCAAAAAATATAATAAATTTTGCCAACCAAGTCACCGAGACATGGTCGATTTTATGCATATTGCAGTTATATAAATTTTTGCTAACCAGTTTTTTTTAATGATTGCATAAATACTTAGAAGAAATGTCTTTAAAAAAACAAGCTTTAACATTTTAGGATTCAATACCAAAGACAATCTTATGATTAAAAATAAAATCCATATAAAAACTCTTAGATTCGTTTAGAACATTATCATTCAGTTTTTACTTTCGAACAGAATAATTCAATACAAAATGAAATTCTTCATTGTTTTCGCTGCTCTCTTCGCCCTTGCTTTGGCTGCTCCCGCTGAACACGGTGCTGAAATCGTCCATCAAGAATCCGATGTTGAACCTGAGGGCTTCAAATTCCTTACTGAAACCTCCGATGGTACCCATCATGATGCCGAAGGCAAAGTAAAGGATGTTGGCTCTGATCACGAAGCCATCGTTGTTCACGGTTCTTACTCCTGGGTTGATGAGAAGACTGGCGAAAAATTCACCGTCAACTATGTTGCCGATGAAAACGGTTTCCAACCCGAAGGTGCTCATTTGCCCAAACCCGAACATTAAGTTGAATTTAATATATTAAAAGACCTTTGAATTTAATAGTATTTTTTGAAAATATATGATGCAATGGAATAATTAAATTTTGTAATGGTTTTATTTATTGAATTATTTTTTTGGAATTATGATGGAGAGGGTTATATTTTGATTACCCCATTGTGCATTTTATAAGATTATCTAGCTGTGCATGTCCGTCTGTCTCTTGAAGGCATGATAGTGTCAAAAGGAAGGAAATTAGCGGAATGAAATTTTCTACATATTTATGTTCTCCGCGGAAAAGGTTTATTTGGTTTAAAGAAGAAGCAATGCTAGACCCCAAGTATATCAAGTATTAAACATTAGGAAACCAACCAAAAACTAATTTTGAAAAAATGTCCACGCGATTATCGTTCATTTAAAACAGAGCAAGGCATTTCCTATGCACGCGTGCCTTTCGGCCGTTACTAAATTTACAACAACGTACTCACTCGTATTAAAAATTCATTCAGTCTCGTTTGAGCGTTCATTGAACGAGGTTGTGTTGTCGCATGTCTGCTAAAGCAGGGATGGACATTATAAAGAGATGTTTATATGTATGTGTAGAGTAGGGTTCTATAAATCGACTTTCGAATAATCGAACAATCGACTTTTTGTCGAAAAAAGTCGAAGTCGATTTTTTTCTTCCAAAAAAGTCGATAACTCGACTATCGTCTGTAAAAAAGTCGAAAAGTCGACTTTGTTACTAAAGTCGAAAAGTCTGAAAGTCGAAAACAGTCGATAAATCGAAAAGTCGAATAAAGTCGAAGAAAGTCGAAAAGTCGTAAAAATTCGAAAAAGTCGGAAAAAGTCGAAAAAAGTCGGAAAAAGTCGAAAAGTCGGAAACTCCAAAATTGTAGAAAAAAGCCAAAAATTTTAAAAAAGTGGAAAAAAGTCAAAAACTCTAAAATAGTCGGAAAAAATCGAAAAAAGTCAAAAAATAGTCGCAAAAAGTCGAAAATAGTCAAAAAGTCGAAAAAATGGTAAAGTCGAAAAAAGTCGGAAAAAGTCGAAAAGTTTATAAAATACTTATAGTCGAAAAGTGTAAAAGTCGACTTTTAATCAAATGAAAAAAAGTCGAAAAATCGACTTTTCATAAAATGCCAAAAGTCGAAAAGTCGACTTTTAACTAAATGGAAAAAGTCGAAAAGTCGACTTTTCGTTTCAACTATAGAACCCTAGTGTAGAGATCTTGTCATTATTTTAACAATCGGGGTGTACTAGTATTAATACTTTGTTGATATTCAATATGAAGATTACAAGAAACTGTGTTATGATGGAGTATATAAACTGATGAAGCTTCTCCTTAACTTGGAGGTCTTTTAATTCCTACGATCGTAGAGCGTGATACATACTCAATCATGCTAGAGGCTTGTACCAAGATTTACATAGTCTGTGATCTTTTTAGATCGGAGCATTCACGAGAAAAGTGTTTTATCTTCTTCGCCAAAAACAAATTATGTAGTTCTTTTTAGGTGGGTAGAAAATAGGATCAGACATGCGTCCTATAATATTAGGATCTAGTAGGTATGTCTCTAAGAATCTTAACAAATGTCGAAGGCAAAGAAAATCAAGTTCCCTTTCAGTGAATGATAGGACCAGACCATCGTAAGCTAATTGAATAGCGATTTTTCTTCGATCGTACACAGAGGAAAAAATATACATGCGTGATAACAAATTGACATCAAATGTTTCCCGTTGTCAAGTATATACAAGAACATCTAATGTTGACCACGCAACGTTGTCAACATTGCAACAATTCGTTGTCGCAATCTAAATTTTATGCACATCCGTTGTCTAGAAGTTAACAAACGTGGTAAGCTCACTATTGACAACGGATTTTGAGCTTACCACGTTTGTTACCCTCTGGGTAGCTGATAACTTTCCTTAGGTAATATAAATATCCTTTTGGAAACAATTTCATCCAAGGACGAAAAGCGCATTCGTTGGCAATTTCAAACCCAAATCAATTCGATAGAATTTCGTCGTAGTTGGGATAGGAAATGAATGTGCGAAGCATACTTCTAGAAAAATCCTTCAATTTATAAATAATATAAAAACAACAATTCAATTTAATTATTCTATTTCATTTATTTTCAAAATAAAAACCTATTAAATTATTTAACAAAACAATTCAACTTCCGCCGGATTTATTATCACACAAACACTTAATGTTCGGGTTTAGGCAAATGAGCACCTTCGGGTTGGAAACCGTTTTCATCGGCAACATAGTTAACGGTGAATTTTTCGCCAGTCTTCTCATCAACCCAGGAGTAAGAACCATGAACAACGATGGCTTCATGATCAGAACCAACATCCTTTACTTTGCCTTCAGCATCATGATGGGTACCATCGGAGGTTTCGGTAAGGAATCTGAAGCCCTCAGGTTCAACATCAGATTCTTGATGGACGATTTCAGCACCATGTTCAGCGGGAGCAGCCAAAGCGAGGGCAAAGAGGGCAGCGAAAACAATGAAGATTTTCATTTTGTATTGAATTATTCTGTTCGAAAGTAAAAACTGAATTATAACTTTCTCTCATAAGCTTAAAGCTTTTATAGATCTATTTTGGGCTTGTTTTTTTTTTTTTTTTGGTGGGTATTGCATAGCAAAATGTTAAAGTTTATTTTTCTTAAAGAAATTTGTTTAAAGTATTTATGCACATTAATAAAATAAAAACTGGATTTTATTTTTATATTTTAAAATATAGAATTATTGCATGGAAAATAAATCACTGAAATTGCACAGTGGAACCGGATAGTAAAGATAATGTAGTAAATTTAGATAATTTAAATGATTTGGTAAAGGGTTTCTCAACATTTTATGCTGTTCGACCAAGAGTAAATCAACATGTAAAAGACTAAAGTCTAACGTCCAGGTTGACCTTGATATATCAAAGTACTCTTCGTAAGCGACAGCCAATACAGTTTTCACTTTCCTTAGCATAGGTAACTGAGAGCGAGGACAGTCATCTCTTCATTGTACTCTAAGTAAATTGTGATTTGTTTTATATACTGTAAAATTTAACTGTACAAATCAAAATTTTGCATGAATTTTGCATTACCCTGTAAAATCTGTTTTCATATAGAAAAGAGTTTCGTTATTTCAAAGATGTTTATGATCACAAATCATGTTGCATTTTTTCATAATATTAAAATTTTTGGGATCAAATTTTCAATATAAAAACTCTGATGATTCGTTAGTGAAATCATTATTCAGTTTTTACTCTCGAACGGAATAACACAACAATTCAAACAAAATGAAATTCTTAATTGTTTTCGTTGCTCTCTTCGCCCTCGCTTTTGCTGCTGAACAACATGCCGAAATCGTTCACCAAGAATCTGATGTTGAACCTGAGGGCTTCAGATTTCTTACCGAAACCTCCGATGGTACCCATCATGATGCCGAAGGTAAAGTAAAGGATGTTGGTACAGAACACGAAGCCATTGCTGTTCACGGTTCTTATTCGTGGGTTGATGAGAAGACTGGCGAAAAATTCACCGTCAATTATGTTGCTGATGAAAATGGTTTCCAACCTGAAGGTGCTCATTTGCCCCAACCTCAACATTAAGTTGAATTGTTTTGTTAAATAAATTAATAGTTTGATTTTGGAAATAAATTAAATGGAATAATTAATTCTATTTATTCGTTTTGTTATTGAAAGTATTTTGTCCAACTTTGAAAGTTTCGATTGGGAGATCAAAGGTTTTTAGTTGATACTGAGGACATCAGAGTGGTTTGATCATTATAAATTTGTTAAGAAGTCTTTCATAACACAAGCCACAATGATAAAGCTTTTTAGAAATAATTTATCTAAATCTCAGTATTATTTGGTGTGCCGATTCCGAAGATGCCAATATATAAGTGGTGTCATATACCTATTTTCCACATCTTCTTCTTTTTTAAGCCGTCATGACTATATATTTGAACATGATATGGAACAGCTGATATCAGATTCTGTTTCAACAGCTAAAAATCATTCAAATTGGTTTTAAAAAAGTTTCTTACAAACCTTGATTTCGTTGACCTGCATAATCTATTCGGTAGACATATCGGTTAAGCGATCTAAGCCTCACTATCTCACTGTTAGGGAGAGGTTGTTTATCGTTAGGAAAACGAACATTGTCTAAACAAATCTGTGACAACAAGGAAAAAGTACATAAGTTGCTTTTTGTACTTTTCAGGAAATCAAATTCCTATACAAAACTATAGAATATCTTATTTAAAATGTGAATGAAATTTTTTCTTGTTTTGAACTGATTTTTATAAACAATTGATACAACATAGAGTTGAGTAAACTGATTTCAAATAACTTGAGATATGTACTTTTTCATTTTTGCCACAGAACTTCTCTCAAATCTAAGTCATCCCAAATTATCTAATATTGACTTGTCGAAGTGACATCTAGTCTGACCATTGATAGCTCAAGAGGTCTCCAATATAGGGCTCCTCAGGGATATAAAACATTAGATGAGTACTAAGTACTGAAGAATTTAAATAAATATCTAATGTTCCACTTTTTACCCAGCCTATATTGGTCGGTAAAGGAATTGTTTAAAAAAAATAAAACATTTCAAGGACGGGACCAGGGTTATCCAATATTTATAGATTTTTATGTATAATTCAAATTTTAATGAAATGTACTCAAATCGCACAGATGATGCCAATAAATGAAAACTAATTTTGTAAAATTCAATATTGTCTTAATCATCTTGTTAAGGGGTTCGATAATTACAACCTTGTTGTAGACAATATAATTTTAAAAATCTTATTTTCAGTATTTTTGAAAACTTTTTTTGTAAATGCTTGGAAAACAAATTTCAGATTTTTTGCACTTAAAAATTTCTTAACAACAATCCTTTCATCGGTCTGGATATTAAAATAAAGATTTAATTGTTCTTCATAAAATCCCCAAATTCCTTTAAACTCCCCAAAAAACTTCCATAGAATTTAAATTTACATTAAAATCGTTTGAATTTATTTAATTTGTTCAAAAGCTTCTTTTTTTATTTACAACAACTCATAAAGTATTGTTTTCACTTTAACTGATCACAATCACTTAATGTTCGGGTTTGGGCAAATGAGCACCTTCGGGTTGGAAACCGTTTTCATCAGCAACATAGTTGACGGTGAATTTTTCGCCAGTCTTCTCATCAACCCAGGAGAAAGAACCGTGAACAACGATGGCTTCGTGATCAGTGCCAACATCCTTCAATTTACCATCTTCGTTCTTGACGGTACCATCGGAGGTTTCGAGAGCGAAACTGTAGCTTTCGGGTTGTACATCAGATTCTTGACGAATGATTTCGGCTTGGTGTTCAGCGGGAGCAGCCAATGCGATGGCGAAGAGGGCAGCGAAAACAATGAAGAATTTCATGTTGAATTGTTGTGTTATTCGGTTGTTTGATAAAAACTGAATGATGATTTAATCCCAGAATGTTGCAGTTTTTATATGATTCCAAGTGTCAAAAAAAATAACAAAAAATAAAGCCATAATGATGACAAAATTATGCAAATATTGTGGTATTTGCAAATAGAAAACTGGATGATTTTGCAGGCAAAAATATTAGACAATATTTTTTTTTTAATAATTTTAAGCCATCAAACAAGTAATAGAATTAGATGATTTTAGTTGTTTTTATTTTTCTTCATTTGCCGGTTTTGTGTACAAAATTTATATCTAACTGTTAACTATTGTTTATCTCAAGTTACGAATACTAGATTGAGATGGTGTTAATGATGTCTACAAAAGAATTAAATCAAAAACAAGTTTAAACAGATTTATACTAATCTCTGATGATAACTGAAATGAAGAACTAACGTACACTAAATGAATGCCGTGCACTGTGTCTAAAAAAAGTTTACAGACAAAACTAATAAGTAATAAATCGGACAATAGGTCAGATTTTAGTAGTCTATAGGTCAGTCTTTGAACTACACTGTCGTTCAGACTATACTATATCACGGACTATGGACTAAAGTGTACTCCAGACTATAATCTAGACTATGGTTCAGACTATAAACTAGACTAGACTATAGCTCAGACTATAAACTAGACTGTCAGAGTACAAAGTAGACTATAGTTCAGACTGCACAATAGTTTAGAGTATGATCACACTATATAATATACAATAATCCAGGGACTAGGATTATACCTGTAGACTAGGCTATAGTCCACTCTAAACTATAGATTATTCAGGTTACACACTAGACTATAAATAAACTATACGTCAGACCATAGACTGGATCATAGTCAAAAATATGGACCAAATTACACTATTGCTCAGACTATAGACCAGATTATAGACAATAATATAGGCCAGACTATAGATAAATATATATCTATATATCTATATATATATATATATATATATATATATATATATATATATATATATATATATATATATATATATATATATATATATATATATATATATATATATATATATATATAGATGGATGGATGGATGGATAGATAAATAGATAGCTAGATAGATAGATAGATAGATAGATAGCTGGATAGATAGATAGATAGATAGACAGTAGTAGCTAACGATAGATAGATAGATAGATAGCTAGATAGATAGATAATAGATAGATAGTAGATAGATAGATAGATAGATAGATAGATAAGAAGATAGATAGCTAGATAGATAGATAGATAGCTAGATAGATAGATAGATAGATGTGAGATAGATAGATAGATAGATAGATAGATCGATAGATAAGATAGATAGATAGATAGATAGGATAGATAGATAGATAGATAGATAGAAGATAGATAGCTAGCTCGATAGATAGATAGATAGATAGATAGATAGATCGATAGATAGATAGATAGAGATAGATAGATATGATAGATAGATAGATAGATAGATAGATAGATAGATTAGCTAGATATATAGAGGATAGAATATAAGAATATCGATTAAGACTCTAGACTTTAACTTATGTAAATTATATATTCCTTTATAGTTTTCAACTTCATGCCAAAGTATTATTTTGTTCCACTGTGCCAATTTCTAGTGATTTAAGTGAAAGTAAAAAACTGAACCTATCTATAATAGCGTTCTTATTCTCTTTGACATTTTATTCTTATTTATATTTAATACTTTAACATTCCCAATTAGATCAAACGGTATTAGTTCTCTCTTCTGTTTAGATTTATGGTCGCCCACTGTGTTACTGCTTACTCAATATTTCATTAAAGTTTGTAACAAACACTAACCCTAAACCTGGTTTCTAGTCACTTAAACTCGTATTAGGTTAAATAAATATTCTTTATAGTGGGTGTAATTTTGGCAATAAAATTAATAACGATTACTTAATAATTCTTCATATGAATTAATTAAATTCTAATTTTAATGCAAATCAAAATACAAATATTTCAAGAGTAACGACTTAAAAAACAAACAAAAAAATTCCAATAAAACTCGTTAGCTCACACTAGTAGACATGTTTGACATTTACGCTATTTTATGTCATCAAACAAAAAAATGTTTAGAAATTCTTTTAGCACAGTTAGAACATACACACAAACTTATATTTAAT